CCCCTCAGCCTTCTCTTCTCCAGGCTAAAGAGCCCCAGCTCTCTCAGCCTTTCCTCATAAGGGAGATGCTCCAGTCCCTCAGTCATCTTTGTTGCCCTTCGTTGGACTCGCTCCAGCAGCTCCCTGTCCCTCCTGAACTGGGGAGCCCAAAACTGGGCGCAGTATTCAAGTTGTGGCCTCACTAGTGCCGAGTAGAGGGGGAGAATGACGTCCCTCGACCTACTGGTCACACTTTTCCCTATGCAGCCCAGGATTCCATTGGCCTTTTTGGTGACAAGGGCACGTTGCTGGCTCATGGATAATTTACTATCTACCAGGACCCCCAAATCCCTCTCCTCAGAACTACTTCCCAGCAGGTCCACCCCCAACCTATACTGGTGCCTAGTGATTCTAGATTGATATCTCAATCTATTTTGTTTATCTGAGAGAAGGTTAAGAGGTAACCTCTTACCATCACAGTCTAGAAGTATTTACAATTATTTTTTTTTCCCCCACCTGGTATTTGATAGCTCTTTAAGTCTCACACAGGAAGAGTTTCCTAGCCTGGGAACTGAAAGAAAACAACAAACTATAGAAGTAAAGTACAGGTGGGTAACAGAGGATAACTGTGGATGTAGTCCTCTGTTAATTGAAGACCTCATATTGAAACTGGGTTTAAAATAAGGCCAGACGATACGCTCATGTGTAAAAAGAACTTACAGATTTGATGCAGAATTTGCATTAGATGCCATGACATCATGTCAAGGGAAGTCAGACTGGAAAGTCTCTGCAGCATTAATATTTATAACTCAAAGAGCATGGCTCTCCACAGAACTGAGTTCTCAGGACCTCACCTTCCACTGTTATACAGGTGGCACATTGTGTTCAGTAGAGAGATTGCACAATTTCAGCAGCTGTTTTCCCCATTTTAAAAAATGTATTGGAGAACTAAAGTGGGATCAAGGAAGGGTAATAAGAATGACTGAGGATATGAAAAAAACCCTCTTTTGAAAGATTAGGCCTTTTTTCACTTTAGAGAGAAGATCAAGAAAGGGGATGCAGTAAAATAATGGTCTAGGTACAGTAGATTAGATGATAGTGTTCCCTGTCATCTAACATGAGCGCAGGAACATCAAGGAAAATTAAAAGGTAACATTCAAAACTGATAAAAAAAACCCCAACCTATAATTACCTCTACTTATAAAACTTGTAATTAGACCATAGAACTCACTGCCAAGTCACAAAGGCCAAGAATGTAACAAGATTAAAGAGAGTATTGTATTTTTAGGGATAACAAGATTTTTAGGGATTCAGAGTTATAATTGGAGGATAAAAATAATAGAAGGGCTATTAAGTCTCAAGTTTCAAGGTGGAAACCAACTTTCTGTCTTGTAGAATAAGTTGATACTGATATTGGCAAATCAATGAATAAGGAATGTGAATAAGGAGGAGCTGGTCCACCTGTGCTTGCTCTGCGATCTTTGTATAGCGTGAGCCAAAGTGCTGGAATAGTTTGTGCAATGAGGCAATTCTTAATAAACTCCTGTATTTGGCTGGTTTAATTCTGGTTTTGTTTTTTTTTTTCAGTAGAGTCATATTTAATTCGCTGTAATGGTGTGAAAAATTGATCTCCTTTTTTTTTGTTCAATGGTGTAGACTGGATGAGTATTTTTCAACCTATAATCTATGTACCAGTGGAAATAATAAGACATCACAAAGTGTTCTATGAATTTTATGTTTGCCCACATGCAACCAAAAAAAAAATGGAGGAGAGGAAAAAAAGAGAAGTAATAAAAAAAAGTCAAGGTTTACTTTTTTTGTTACTTAGTAAAAAATAGCAAGTTGCAAAAGTAGATCAATACATAATCCTTCAGTTAAAATCAGAGTCCTTCAGTTAAAATTAGAGAAACACTGGAACAGATGATCTCTTAAGATTTCATGTAGAAATCATGAATTTAGAGGGACATTTACTATATGAGATGAAGCAAAAAAAGCCTGTTCTTGTGTCTGGTTTTGAGTTTTAAAGAAATGTTAGAATACAGGTTGAACTGGATTCTGTTCTACCTTCGCTTTTCAAAATTCTTGTATGAAAATTTTAAAATGTGAAGGATAAGTATATGAAAGCCTTATCTGAGTTGTGACCATCATAGCTATAAAATTTAGACCAATGCATTGGATTTGTGACCTGATCCAAAAGGCACGTTGCTGCGTTTCCAGTAAAATAATTCAGTAATTTGTTAATCATAATTTCATTCCGAAGTCAGTGGCAGTACTTATGTGTCTTTCTGTATTGAGAACAGATAGAAAAGTTTAATTGGTTTTCAATGATTGTGATGATAATAATAATAATGATGATCATAGAATCATAGAATACCAGGTTGGAAGGGACCTCAAGGATCATCTAGTCGCACCTTCCTTGGCAAAATCACTGTCTAGACAAGATGGCCCAGCACGATGTCCAGCTGAATCTTAAAAGTGTCCAATGTTGAGGAATCCACCACTTCCCTGGGGAAATTATTCCAATGGCTGATTCCTCTCATTGTGAAAATTTTCCTCTTGTGTCCCATCGGAATCTCCCCAGCAGTAACTTGTACCCATTAGCCCTTGTCTTTTCCGTGTGACTCCTTGTAAAAAGGGAGTCTCCATCTTCTTTGTAGCCACTCTTTAAATACTGGAACATGGTGATAAGGTCTCCCCTAAGTCTTCTTTTCTAAAGGCTGAACAAACCCAGTTCTCTCAGCCTTTCCTGATATGGCAGGCTTCCCAGTCCTTTGATCATCTTGGTGGACCTTCTCTGGACCCTCTCCAGCCTGTCCACAATTTTTTTGTGTTGTGGGGACCAAAACTGAACACAGTATTCCAGGTGTAGCCTGACAAGTGCTGAGTAGAGTGGGATAATGACTTCTTTATCTCTTCTGGTGATGCCCTTGTTGATGCAACACAGCATCCTGTTGGCTTTCTTTGCTGCAGCAGCACCCTGTTCACTCATATTGAGCTTGTTGTCCACCAGGATCCCCAGGTCTCTTTCCACAGAGCTGCTCCCCAGCCAGGTAGATCCCAGCCTGTGCTGCACTCCTGGATTATGTTTTCCCAGGTGCAAGACCTTACATTTGTCCTTGTTGAACTTCATAAGGTTCTTAGCCCACTCTTCCAGCCTATCCAGGTCTTCCTGCAGGGTGGCTCTCCCTTCCAAAGTGTCCACTTGCCCCCCCGGTTTGGTGTCATCAGGAAACTTTGTCAGGGTACACTTGATCCCATCATCCAGATCACTTATGAAGATATTAAAGAGCATTGGGCCCAATATCCATCCCTGGGGACCCCACTTGTGACCGGTTGCAAATTTGAAAAGGAGCTATTGACCACCACCCTCTGGATGCAGCCTGTCAGCCAGTTCCCACCCAGTGCACAGACCACTTGTCTAGACAGCAGCACATCAATAACGGTAATAATAATAAATAATAAAATCACTGAAGACTTGCAAAAAGAGACAATACACAGAGCTGTCAGCTCTTCACTTGATCTGTCTTGAAGCTTGACACTAGAGTTAAAACCAAACTTATAACACCAACATTGTGAAATAAAACGTTGTATGTCCTGTTTTGGTTTTATGGCCATGTAAGTTCCTAGTTAAGAATTCATGAGCCAAAACTGAACAGTGTAAAAACATGCAAACCTTTGCTACTACCTTACTGCCATTTCCTGTGTGCCTTCAGTTCCACTTTCTCCTCTTCAGCTTCTCAACCACTCTGTAATGAAAAAACTACTGTAAAGTTACAGTAATCACAGAAATAAGATCTGTCCTTTGAACCACATACAGGAGGGAACCACCAGATTACTCTGAATGGGTGTGCCCCAGATTTCTGACTGACAAACTGCCAGTGTTCCTGATCTTTGCTAAGCTAAAAGAATGTAATTATTAACCAGGGAAAACTCCAGTCCTGCATGTGCGTCCCACGTGTAGTCTTCTGCACAGCTGTCTCTAGTCACTGCTACTTTCGTTAGTGTTAGACACAGACAGTATCATTAGCAAGCTGGATTGGTGTGTGTATCCTTGTACAAAGAATCCTCAATACTGCGCTAACGTATGTAATTGACAACAGAAGTTCATGTGGGGGAGAAGGTTATGTATTGAGTACATTTTTCTGTAAGTATAATTACTCTTGTCAGCATAGGCTGCACTTTTTATTTTTCGAAGTCAGATCAGAAGAACAATTCCGTTTAGCCTGTACAGAAAGTTGATACCTGGTTTGCTAATGTACTATTAAAGTTTAAAAAAAAAAAGATGGGAAGGAATGAATATCATTAAACGATCTTTGATCAAGGCTGAGCTGAATGCATTCCAACATTTATACTATAATTAAAAACGTAGTGACTGTCCTTGCTTAATGTTTTATTCATAGATAACTAAGGTATGTACCATAAACCGCATATGACTGTGTGATCAAAGGACACTTTACTGTGTATCTTATCAGTAGTAGTATACTAACTTTATGATCATAATTTTTCCTTTTCTGTTGTTTCCGTGGACTTCGTAAAGATTATCGTAGTTTATGGTATGTTAATCAGTATCTTATTGAGGTTTTTTTTTTTTTTTAATTGCTTCCAAAATTTTAAAATCTAACAACAAATATGCTACAATTTAACTATTACACTTTCTGAAAGGATGATTATACTTGTATTTCAAGCTGGTAAGTCCCTTATCCCTGATATAAAAATGTGTCCCTAGAAAAACAAGAAAAGAGAACAGAATTGGACAGCAAAAGCTGGGACATACAAGATGATAGGTCCATTTTGAATATTTTAGCCATATTATCCTCACTTCCTTTCCCATGTACATGTGTTTGAGACCAGATGTGAGACTTTCTGGCTTTGAATATATATGGAGAGCTTTCCAAAGGGTCTGATTTTGAGGAGGTAGGGACTCGGTATTCTGTTAGTATTTATGCACAGTTAGAAAGTAATTCAAGTGTGTAAACAGATGCTATTTTAGATGGCAAAGGGTATCTTGTTTGGCTTCCTACTGCTGGTCGAGAACAATATGACTGTTGTGCAAATCCTTTGTCATCTTCTGTCATCTGCTTTGTCATCTTCCGATGTGGAAGCCTCAGATGTGCTGTTATCTGGAATTATTCAGGCCTCTAATAGTTTAGACACCTGAATTTTTCAGTGGTGCCCAGTGATAGGACAAGAGATAATGGGCACAAACTTGAACATAGGAAGTTCCATCTTAACATGAGGAGGAACTTCTTTACTTTGAGGGTAGTGGAGCACTGGAACAGGCTGCCCAGAGAGGTTGTGGAGTCTCCCACTCTGGAGACGTTCCCAACCTGTTGTGGACTAGATTATCTCCAGAGGTCCCTTCCAACCCTGACCATTCTCTGATTCTGTGAATACTTCTTTCTGTTACCATTCTAGAACTGTGTTCCTGTAAGATGTTATGTGTGTTCTTGGTTTACTGTAGATTTTAAGATGATCCATGAATGTACGGTAAGAGTCTTAACCAGATTGGTGTGGATATAGCCTGTGGGACAGTCATAGCTACCTAACTCATACTTTTGTCTACACAGAAAGTGAGGATGTACCCTGAGGTCATTCTCAAGTCTGTTTATGTCACAGAGCCAGTATAAGTCCTTACACTCAACTCCTAATAATTGTTTAGCTCTGCTCGACTTCCAGGAGTGATATTCACCTGAAAACTCCGTCTTTCAGCCCTTCCATTTCTGTTGTGTGTTGGAAACTACCTGTGATCATGTCCTGCTAAAGACTGCTGCTGGTGACTTGTTATTCCCTGTTCCTAATTATATCTTTTCCACTTTTCGTATAATTTTCACAAACTTTTAACAGCAATGAATCTGAGACAAGAAAGAGATGGCTGTGCCACAGACCAAAGGCTCTGCTTTCCAAATGCAAAGCACGAGGTGTACAGCTTTAATCCTGGCTGCCCACCCTTGAAGAAGAAGAGCATGTATTACTCAGGTTATTTTGACAATCGCTTTTGACCAACCCCCGGTACTTTGTGGATGTTCATTATGCAGAAGGGTATGTCTGAAGAGGCACCTAACTCAGAGTTTGGCAGAGGGCAACAACATCTGCTTGGGAATGAAACATCAACTAGTGGTGAAAGTACTTAAACACTCCAGTGGTTAGGGCCTTACAAAAGAAGTGAGTATCTGTGTTCTAGATTCTTGGCATTAAGAAGAGGCACAGCTGTAGTCTCCTAGCCAGGTCTTCTAGTTACCAGGCTAATGGTACTCTGAGTACATCCACCCTCTGAGACAAGGAGTGTGTGGTTTTGAGCACAAGACACCATGGACACCAAAATGGAGTCCTCTGATAACTTTTATTGATCTTAGGTATGTTCAACACTAAAGTGATTCTTGAGGGTAGGCAGTGTGAATTATTCTTGAGCCTTGAGAATCTAAATTCAAATGAAATCACAATTGAAACATTCTGAGTATGTCCCTCCTGATTAGGGTAATCTTGTGTGATGGAGGAATATTGGATTCTAAATCCTGGTCCAGAGGACATTTTGGTATTGTATAAAATGATGCTGTTATAATAGCATATAAAATTTATATTTCATGTGAGGTGAAAAAGAACAAATTTATCTGCATTTAAGACAGTGATACAGAAAAAACGTATTGAAGGAGCTGGTAGCAGTGTTGAACACGCTGCTAAAAATGTGTTCTAGCTGGTACTGAAGTAGAAGCTGTAGATAATTGCTAGGTTGAGGAGCTGGAAACTGTAAAAGACCGAGTAGCTTGGACTGCAAGAAAGTGAGTAGGAAAGCCAAACGTGTACCCAGCACTGCTTAGCCTAGAGAGTCATGAGTAGGACTTCTTTCTTGAAAAGGAAACTGATGACAAGCACCACACTCTCTGCTTCCAGAAATAGCAGAGACAGCTAACAGTATTCTGCTTCTGCTGACTTTGGTTGAGACACTGAGCCTGATATTTAGTAGTTCAGAATCTGTATTTAAAATACAGCATATTTCAAAACCACTGCCTGTATTGACAGTTCCAACTAAGGTCAGAGGCTGAGGAGGTGTCTAGCACTTTCTCTAAGAACTGCAGCCACTGTTCCTATGTAGAGTTTGGGTTCTTTCCTCACGTGGGGAACCTCTGTGTCCTTCACTCTTGTTATTCTTGCTTCACCCAGAATTGCCAGTATATTGTTTTAGTTGTGTGAGCTAGCAGTGAAGTGTGTCATTTTGATTAAATCGTTCAAGATAAATGCAGTCATCTTTCTGTAACACTTCAGTGAGGTATCAACCATGCTTCCAGAGTGGTAACCAACAGGAATGTGCACAATTGTATGCTGCCCTCATATAATTTAGGTCATATAAATACAAATGGAATTGATACTTGAACAGATAAAATAATACACATTAACAATTCCCCCTTTAATCGGTGGTCCTTTTGCAGCTGTGCCCTTAGTTTGCCTTGGATCATAACATTTCTCTCTTTGAAGCATTGGCAAAGAAAATTCCAAAAGGCAAGACTAAAAGTCAGTTCTGGGTCTTCAAAATATGTTGAAATTCTCACGGATCCAGATGACTCCTAATTATTTTACAGTTCTTGGGAGAAAGTTACCCAGGCCTGCTTAATTTGCAGTGTTTATTTTTAATTGCTTCTCTTTAGCATCATCCTTAGCTAATCTTGGAAAAGGAAATATTTCACCATTATTCATGCTATAAAGGCATACTTAGCTTTGTTCCAAATACAGAAAAGAAACATGCTGAACATCTCTGCCTTTTCCTGCATGATTAACAATTTTCTCATCTGCCTTTTCTGATGTTATTGATATCCTTGCCACCTCTTTGTAGCAACATTCACAAGAACTAGAATTTCCTCTGTTTTTTATTAAAAAATCTCTTGTTGTCCTTAGTCCTATCGAACATGGAATTTTTCTGCCTATAGTTTTAATTTCCTCTGTTACCTGGTTTTCTTAACTTCTGTTTTACATTTCTTGATTCCATGTTTAATAACTGTTCTTTGCCATCTGTCTGCGGGGAAATTGGGTATATCTATATTACTAATACTTAAAAAAAGACAAATGTGAGAAATGATAATAAATTCCTACATTTTGCAAATGTGTGAAATACATGGGCTGAAGGTAGTGTCTATGTAGTTTAAACCTAAACAGTCATAATTTCTAATCTGACCTGTAGTAAAAAAGAAGAGAATGAGTCAATGTTGTATTGCTTGCCATACAACTGCTTTTCAGGTAACAGAACAAAGACTTATCAGCTTTGAGGGTTATATTTCTGAGAAATAGGCTTAAATAGTATGGTCAAATATCTTGTACTTGGTTTCATTGTTAATTTCGTTCTTCAAGATATATATTGTATTGCTCACATATCTTTTTTTTTTTTTTTGTAGGTCTATGCTTATCCATATTGCTGAACTTTGCACTTTGACAGGAAATAATGATCAGTGAAAGGATTATATAAAGAACAAACACAATTCATTGCCTGCTCTGATTTCAAGATTACTCATTGCAGATAACAGAATGTCATAACACATTGGGATCTGCTATGTAACATCATACAACCTGGCATGATGCGCTTTAAAAGCGTGATAGAATGCATTAGAAGTGAACGGAATAGCTTTCCTCTTAGACTAGTTGTCACTGTAATGAGTCTGTTCTTAACGTTAAACTTTTAAATGCCATAATAATAGTGTTAGTAACAGTGAATACCATACCAAGTCCAAGACAAAGCAGTTTTCATAATTTATGAAGGAAGACAGAAGTTTCATCTCACAAGCGATGTCTGATACACTTGTGTATTAACCGTATACATCTTACCACTTAGAGTGCAGAAACAAGCGAAATATTGCTTACTGCTTCCTTCATGTAGAAACAAGATGACAGAAATTGTCTTGTGTTTAAAATCCACTATGTGTGCCTTTGGTATATCTTCATATCCTAACAAGATGCATATTATATTCTGATGGACCAAGGGTCCACTACAGACTATATCTACTACTTCAGGACTCTGTATTGCAAATGTCAGAATTTATTAAATTGCCTTTGATTCCGATGGTTCCTGGTGTGCCTTCTTTTATACCCGTGGTGAAGAGCTGCATCAGCAGCTGCCTCAGCAAATAAGGTACCTCTCTTCTAACCTCTCTGGAGCTATCTGAGGGTGGAAGAGTTGAACATTGTTTCCTCATTGTTTTGGTGATGACATCTATTCTTCCCAAAGACATGCTTATGCATTGCCAAGATCAAAAAAAGTTCTTCTCAAATATTTTGTACGCAAGGTAGTGTTGCCTTCCACCAAAGTTTTTGGCCTTGTCATAAGATTCATTGGCTCTGGCAAAGTGGTAATCTTACTCATTTTTCTTCTGTATGAAAGGGGAAGGACAAGAGAGAAATAGTGTATTAAAACCTTCCAGGATAGTCCTGCTTATAGATTCCTGGAAGTGTGACTCGACCCAATGATACTATATTATGATAAAGGGGGTTGTGCGTCTTTCAGACGCCATGGAGTTTTTGAAGAAAAAGGGAATGCATGCGAAGAGTGTGGACATGGTGTGAAGACACAGTAGTGCACAGGATGTTGGCTTCTGGATGTTGGCTGGCTTGAGCTCATCAGGCGCATCCTAAGATACCTAGGCTGTGTGTGGATTTGCTTTGAAGTTCTTGTGCTCTGGGAAATCAAGAAAGGAGCCTCTTGGAGCTAGATGCTGAGGCAGTCAGGGTAGTTGGGAGTTGCTGGCATCCCTGCTACAGGACATTCAGTTAAAGCACGTGAAGTGCTAGGATGGTTCAGATTTTCTTTCATCCATCTTCCTCTTAGTATTTCTTCTGTCTTTGCAACTAGCACCCTTGCTGGAGCTGTAAATCTTTCCTTGAAGATGGACTATCAGTTTTCCTATAAGAATACCTGTTTTCCTAATGGGTCTCAGTATGCCTGACTGGGCTGTGGTCAAGCGCTCCTGTGGGAGGAGGTGCTCATTTCCCCTTCCTGCCTACTTCTGCCCACACCATTCACTTGCATGCAGTTTGCATTGATGTTGGTGCCCAGTAGAACCGCGGCTGATTTATTCCTCTATCATTATAGAACTACACCAGCAAAGAA